TGACCTTCTCACCTCTGACCTGCCTTCACCTGCTTCCTGTTTCTCACCTGTTACTTTATCTCTCACCCCTCACCTTAGACCTCCATCGTATTTGCTATTTTCTGGGATTATAAATATTATTATTATTATTATTATTATTATTATTATTATTATTATTATTATTATTATTATTATTATTATTATTATTATTATTATTTAGATTTCCAGAGTACTGAGTGATTCCTCTTAAATGTACGGTATCTGATTTATTTTTTCTGGTTTTCGGACTTGTCTTGATTAAAGGAAATTGCTATAATAACAAGAAATTACTGTCTTCACGTGATAGTTATATTAATAATAGCTGTTTAATACATCATGATCATCATTACCATAATCCTCCTCCTCCTCCTTCTCATTCTCATCATTATCATCATCATCATCATCATCATCATCATCACCATCATCTAGACAAAAACTCAGTAAACCCAGCAAACTGTTTTTCCTTTAAACATTTATCACTCTTTGACTCCCTACCATCCCCCGGTTTATCACCTCTTGTCTTCTTTTCTTTCTTCGTTCAATATCCATCCCCACCTTCACTCATCGGACCATAATAGAGAGTTTGACCTGGCACTGATAGAGGTCATGATTATCTTACCTCCTCATAAAAAAACAATGTTGTGGCCTGGCTCCCTCTGTCTAATGTGAGGAACGGCGCCTCTCATATGGTACTTTATTCAGACATTCTCACACCACTCCATCAAATAGGAATTTACTCTCCTCCTCTACCTCTCCCTCTCTCCTTCCCTCCATTCCTCCATCTCCCCTCTTCTTCTCCCTCCTCCTTCATCCCTCTACCCCTCTATTTCTCTTTACTTTCTTTCCTCATCTTCTCCTCCCCCCGTCTCTCTTTCTTCTTCTTCCCTCTCCTCTTCTCCTTCCTCCCTCTCCTCTTCTCCTCACTCCCTCTCCCCTTCTCCTCACTCCCTCTCCTATTTTTCCCACTCCCTCTACAACTCTCCTTCCTCTTTCTCCCCTTCTCCTCCCTCCTTCCCTCTCCTGCTCTTCCTTTCCCCCCTCCCTCTCCGATTCTCCTTACTCCTTCTCCCATTCTCCTCACTCAATCTACAACTCTCCTTCCTCTTCCTCCCCTTCTCCTTCCTCTTCCTCCCCTTCTCCTTCCACCTTTCCTCTCTTCCTCTTCTTCTTCTTCTCCTTCCCTCTCCCATTTTCTTTACTGTCTCTCCTTTTCGCCTCCCTCCCTCTTACTTAATTAGGATTTCACATTTTTCTCCATCCTAACGTCCTTCTCTCTCCTTCTCTCTCCCCGTCTTCTCTCCCTCTTCCTCAATTAGGAGTTCACATCTTTCTTCGTTTCCAACTTCCTTTGCCTTCCCCCTTTCTCAGTTCTCCAATCTCCCCTCTTTCTCTCCTCTTCAGTTCACGTCTTTCCCCCTCCAAATTTCCTCTTTTTCCTCTTCCACTCTTCCTCTCCCCTGTAATTCATTACGCTCCCCCACTCTAACCCCCATCCCTCTCTTACTCGGGGAGATGGTAGTTGGTGATAAACATCTAAGCCTGAGAGAGAGAGAGAGAGAGAGAGAGAGAGAGAGAGAGAGAGAGAGAGAGAGAGAGAGAGAGAGAGAGAAGCAGCACTCTTTTTGGTATAACTAAAGGAACATACCCCATAAAACAACGCGATTATATGCTCTCAAAACACACAGACACAACGAAACAGATAACAGTTCACACAGACACACACACACACACGCCACCCCCCTCTGTTCTATTATTAATGCATCCCTCAGACAAAGCAAATGCCCTAATGAATGGAAAACCGCATTTGTCACCCCCATCCCCAAGGTGACCACCCCACAGTCCCTGAACGACCTCAGGCCAGTTGCCATTACCCCCATACCCAGTCTACTTAGTGAGGACTTTGTTTTTGAATGGGCATTTGCCAGTATCTATCAGTCAATTGATTCACAGCAATTTGGCAATATGAGGACCTCCTCTACATCACACTGCTTGGTGAACTTTCTGGATTTTCTGCACAAAAACTTGCAGAAACGTAAGACATCACTGGCCGTTGCCCTTGTGGACTTCAGAAAGGCCTTTGACCTTGTTGATCAGTGCACTGTTATCAACAAGGCTATTGCACTAGGGCTGCCCACCAACCTGGTCTCATGGCTCACTAATTTCTTGAGTGGACGTCGCCAAGCAGTGAGGTATCAGGGCTTGGTCTCTACATTCCAACACCTCACCTGCGGTGTTCCCCAGGGGACCAAGATGGGACCACTGTGTTTCCTGATCCTGATCAACGACGCTCTATCGGACACTCCTCACAGGTGGAAGTACGTGGATGACTGCACTGTGGGGGTTTCAGTGGACAACACCGCACCAGACTACTCATCGCTACAAGGCACCCTGGACAGGCTACAGGCATGGACTACGGAGAACAAGGTCACCATCAACCACACCAAAACCGTAGTCATGCACATCAATACCGCCACCACTCCAGTGCA